ATTTCGATCTTCGCCGAACATGCTGCTTTACACTTCCGCCGTTCGTTCCGACACATTTATATGCGTTATTTTATTCAACCTACGCAGTTGACGGTTTTCCACGCTACAGAGACTCGCTTGGAGAATTTCTGTTCGAATATAATTTCGAGGAATATAAAAGCAATCGTAGAAATATAAATGCATTGTTAAAGGTTCATCTGTATATAACAATTAAGAGAAGGAGAAAAAGATTCCCGTCTTTTATTAATTAATACAAAATCCGAATATGTATTGTTTCGCCTCGTTTCCCAAAGCGAGCAGCGTTCGGCGCGCACGGTAAGATTGATGAAGACGGAATGAACTGCTTATAAATCTGGCGGCAGAGGAGAAGAGGGTGGGGCCATTGTGCTCGGAGCATGCGGACGAAAGTAAAAACGCATGAAAATCATCGTGCCACGTTAACGAGGATTTCCCACGTACACGCTTGGAAACGCATTCGGGCTTCCTGTGTCCCGCGTTGCGGACACGCGATGCGTGATCGGCGTGCTTTATCGCAATATCTGAAGATATCGCGTGCGTTTCCTTTGTCTCGGCGTACAAATTTCACGCGACGTCGCGACGCGACGCGTCTTGTTGTCGAGCGAAAAAGCCGCGGTCTATAGCTCTTTCTCTCAACCTTTATTTTTTTTTTCTCACGTTTTTTCCCCCCCTCCGCTCATCGTCATTAACGAATCTCGGCGCGATTCTGCGAGCACAAGTAAACTTGTTAAGTCCCACGTGCGAAAGCCGCGAGACACTCGATATTTCGTTACCGACCTGTGAGAGAAACTCGTTGGGAACACAAATTACTACTTGTGTCGCACGCGGGATTCAACGCGCGTGCGGCCCCGGCGTCGCAGTTAAATAAACTTTCGTCTGGTTCGTCATGCGTATCTTTTCTATTCGTTCCGAGTAAACGCGGGAGTGCGAGAGTTATTTGTATGATTGCGTGCAGTGAGAATTTCAGGCCGCGATCGCACAAATGTGGTGATACGGAACGCCGATAACGAGTCGGGAGGATCGTGTACAAATCTGATTGTTTCAAGTCTAAGCTTGCCTCGTTCGGTTTTTGTTATAGCCGTAATCTAGAAAAGATCTGTGAATAGTACAAGATCTAAGGTACCAAGAGTTCTATCACTCGCTAAGCTTGAGAATCGGAGGATAGATTCGAAAGGATACGCAAGCTACAGTGGCACACAAGGACGAGAACAGTTCTTTGAAGTACCTCGAGTAAACGCCCACGCGTTCCATACAAAGTATTGCGCGAACACCTCTCGTGTGCCATTTTCCATATTTATTTTCCGTTCCTTGTCAAAAGGCGCACTATTTACGTGTCAAAGATTGACCGTTATCGGTCTCATAAAAGTGTAATTATTCCTTTTATATATATATATTATATTCTTTAGAGATATAAAAATATTTTTTTTTATCAAAATGTTACGTTTAATTTTTCTCTGAAAAATATTTTAGTTCAATTCTAAAGCTAAGCTCTGATGACGAATTAGCGCAGGTTCGATTTTACACCCTCTTCCGGGATAGTCGACGCACTTGAACACGATTGTCTCGTAGCGATACGGGTTTCCGGCGGGCCCCGAATTAACGTCGTTAAATTTTACGGTCGCCTCGTCGGCGGAAATCGATTCCGTTGTAAGAAGAAAAACGACCCGAGCCAGCACGTAACACGATGAAACACCGTCGCGGAGTTTCATGATCGGGAGAGACGTTTGTGTGTATACGCGAGGGGTGATCGTTTTTCTCTCTCTTTCTCTTTTCTTCTCTTCTCTGCAGGGTAGAAAGGAAGGAACGCGAAGAGGTGGATAGAGAGTCGCGCAGAGTTTTCTGAAGACCTTTGTCAGCGTTTGCTGTACGGGCGATCGTAAGGATCTTTGGCTCACGTACCGTATTTACAACTACTATCAATATCGAGCGATTTAATGGATACGCTCGAGTGCATCGATATCGACGCTCGGATACTACCTCGGACCGACTCTGATATTCGACGAGCGAGGGATTTCTGGTTTAAGCACGCTGAAAAAAGGTGGATAGAGAGTCGCGCAGAGTTTTCTGAAGACCTTTGTCAGCGTTTGCTGTACGGGCGATCGTAAGGATCTTTGGCTCACGTACCGTATTTACAACTACTATCAATATCGAGCGATTTAATGGATACGCTCGAGCGCATCGATATCGACGCTACTACCTCGGACCGACTCTGATATTCGACGAGCGAGGGATTTCTGGTTTAAGCACGCTGAAAAATTCATCGGTGATCCGTCGTCGTTCTGTCGACGTCGACTGATTTTCGCAAAGGAAAACGCATAATATCGCTACTTTAAAAGCAGCCGCGATGTAACGAGAAAGATTTTATTATTCACATTTCGACCTACATATAAGATTTTAAATTGTAAATTCGAATATTATAATTTGAGATTTGCTAATTCAAGGACACGATCGGTCGAGTGATCCGAAAATCCTCCAATTCCACTATTTACATAATATCCTGTCTAGACTCTCGCATAAATATTTCAGCTACTTGATCTTGGTTGGCCACTTGCAGATTTATATCTAGCATTGGCGAGTATCCAAAATTAACTGTCAGAGTTGGCAGCCTCCGTATCTTCTCCACTTAATTTGTAGTTACTCTAATTGTAAGATACTCCATTTGTATTGAGAACACAAAAGTTATCTTTTAAATGCATTTTACACGCGCCCAATCTCTTAAATCTCGCGACCGTAATTTAAACAAAGAGAATTAAATTAAATTTTAGTTTTAGATCTTACACACGAAAAGCTACATCCTCCCATGTTATATCGCGATTCAGTTCCGTCTCGCTCGCGTTCATGCAGGATTAATATTTCGCGGGATTTGTATGACGACAATGACGTTTGTCGAACGGAAATATCACTGGGGATCGCCGGATAACGCTTTTAGCAAAAGGGATTTGTATCCGACGAAAATTGATTTCGTCCCAAGTTTCGCTCGCTCGCGAGCTGGATTACGCGCTCAGCCGATAATTAATCGCAGTATAGCTCAGCGACAGAGCGATTAGTATGACGAGCCCAACGGTAATATTCGAATCTGCTCGTCGTATGCGCGCAACAATGCCGCGGAATTCCGACTATATTTGCCGGGATTAAGTGCCGGCTTGCTCGGGATAGCGCAGGCCGGGGACGATAGCGGCGGCTGGGATTCCGAGCCGGGATTTCGGTCCGATAATGTTTGTACAGGCGCACATACGGCTCTCCGCGCGCTCCCGCCGGTTACAATCGTTGGCGAAAACGATTTTTCTTTCCTCTCTTTTTTATTTTTTAATTCTTTTTCCCATCGAGTCTCTCGCGCGAATTAAAAATATCCGAGCGGCGAATTAGTTTGTACTGCCAGAGGTTTTATCGCGAATTCGCTATAATCTCGTTTCGCGGCGCGACGCGACGCGAACGCTATTCAAGGATTTTACGAGATGTCGTGCACGGAACACTCCACCTTTTCGGAGAACGCGGAATGTTCGCGTGAAATTGGCGCGATTGTGTAAACGGTGAGCGAAAAAAAAAAATTAAAAAACGCGACCGTAAGCCACTCGCCTTGACATCCTTTAGATGCGGGAAGGCGTGGCAATTTAATATCCGTAATTTAGTTTATGTATTCGCGAGACTGCAGACGCGTATTTGGACACTCGAGATTCTTTGTTCACTGAACCCTTTTTCTTTATCCGCAAACTCGTCCTTTATTTCGCAAGGTCTTTAAGATTCGCACACGAGCGATCTTAGTTAACACCGAGCTGCGATAAAGACGAGAGATTTACAACGGAAACTTTTTTGCGTTAGGTATATATTTGGCATCCTTCCAAACTTTCGAATTTTCTTTTCCTTTACTCGCAATTACGTTCCTCTTCCGGTCTTTCAAGTTTGCGATTTTACTCAATTGTGCGGCACGCCGAGAGAGAAAGATTCGCGTTGGGAATTTCTTCGCGCGTGCTCCTCTCCCATTTGCATCCGACTTAATGACCGTCGTCGCCGTGTTGTTTCCGCGAAATCGAAATGCCACGGAACGGAAGGAGATAGGCGAGCGTGTGCCGGGAAATAATAAAATTCGCAGGGAAAATCAGCGAGGCCGACGTTTCGAACGTGACGTGGTCAGTCCTATCATTTTATGCAAATAAAAGCGGAGAACGCTTGATTTCCCCGTGGTGTTCCGACACCGCTGTCGCCGTCGTCGCCGTTGTCGACGTCGGCGTCGTCGACGACGGGGACGATGCTTGACGTCAGCCGGAGATATGACTCCAGCTTGTGGGGTTTGCGGTTCTCCGATCTGTGGAGAAACGGGCATGTATATAGTACGGCATTAACCGGTTGTCCTCGATTCTCCAGAGATTCCCTCGGGATCTCGGCACGTGTCACGAAGCACGTGTTTACACCGCGCTCTGGAATATGCACTTTACACCGCGCGATCATGCGTTTCGCATTTCGAGAATGCATCTCGATAATCTCGACAATGACAGCATGCTAATGTTGCGGATCGATAAGCTAAAATCGGCAGGCTTCATCTTTGACCATTCAAAAATGGTCAAAGTAATATTTCTCACTTTATATTAATAATAATTATTTAATCAATAATTTTCATTGTTAATTAACATTAACTTTAAGTAATGAAGATCAATCGATCACTCTTCGTTTAATTAATGACCATTTATAAATTTATTTATTATGTCTAATAGAGTTAACATTTTTAAGCATCCAAGCGTTCAATGGGAACGTCTTGGGCGGTTGATACACGTTCGAGCGTTACATTTTATGTGCCGTATTATAATATCGGATGTTACGCTGATTACACAATTGCCATGTCCGACCGTATCCTTTCCTCCCGAGATGATGGCTAAGTTTCGTTGCAGAACTTCGGCGCGTCTATCGAAGCGTAAATTTACCGATTGGCCCGCGCACAACTTGCTACAGAACTAATCCGCCAAATTGCATGCGATTCTCTTACTCACCCAGCGAGAGCAGCGCGATTCGGACGCGATGAGCATGAGCATCGCGGTGCGACGGACGCATCTTCTTGACGATCTTCTCTTGTATATATGTACGTGTTTGCCTCTTATTGTCAGTGTATACGTCTCTCTGTACTCTCTTTCTCCCTCACGCGTAATGTAGAGATTCGCGGAGCGGACAGGTAGATAAACAACACCTGGCGTGACCGACGTACCGAAGACTACGCGGAAACTGACTCCTTTCGATGCCACACTGTCGGTAGTATCCTCGCCGCCTCGGAGCGGAACTGAATGTACGTACGTTGACTTTTGCTTTTGCCGGCCGCGGTCGCCTTTCGCCGCCCGGTGGGAAAGAGATAGCGCCCACTGCACGATCACGGCCGACCGACGATTCTCGGACGAGCAAGAGCGTTGAGACGAGTCGACACGCTTTGAAACCTCGAAAATGATCGTTTGATATGTTAATCGACATGCTCGGAGAGAAAAATGGTACGTGACGAATGCCCTTACTGAGGTTTCCTCCCACAGTTTACTTTAATAGACGGAATTAATGTGACAGTTTGATATTAAAAAAAAAAAATAATAATGTCTCTTTTTATCATATATTATCAATATTAATTTTATTCATCTCTCGATCGTTATAGGATCTTATGCTTGGTTTATTTAAGAGAGTGTAAAATTTACTAATGATTTATTGTTAGAAAACGTATCTCGTTAATCTCAATTGTCTATATGCTTAAGTGAGATCGTCGTAAAACGTCTGTCTGTCAAAATGAATAAATATTGATTATTTCGCTGTGAATGCACACAGCATTTTACATTCGATGGCATATTTTATCGAGAAGAGATACGTGTAGCTAAGCTGCGCGCAAAGGAACAAAATTCCCGTGTGCTATCTCTCGTTAAGGACGTGAAACTCAACCGAGTTTACAACCCTTTAAATTCCATTGCCTTTCTCGCGCGAAATCTTAAGATAATGTCTATGCACACGACGAGGCTGTCTCTTATTCTCGTCTGACAATGAATCTCGTTCCTGCGCCGTCAACTTTAGTTTTATCGCTCGCATTAACTCTCGCGAGCATAAGCGCGTTACCTCGAACTAAAGAGTTCGCAGGCGTATCGAAAGGAGAAATTGCATAGCGTTCGTTGTAATTACCGCGTAATTGTCTACTTCTGATTACATTAATTATTTTCCAAGAGAACTTTTTAGGCGTGGTTCATAAGATGCTCTAGCTTTCCATTAGATTAAATTATTTGCGCTAGAGAAACGAAGATTGATGATCTACGTTAAATGAGCAGAAATCAAACAATCACTTTTATGATTTTTATATTCCTACGATTAAAAGTAGTGGCAGAAATTATTCTCATACTTGTTCGAACGTTGAATCTTACTATATCCAACGGGAAAAGCACGAGCGCAGTTTAAGAGAGAGGCAAGAGAGTCCGTGCTCTAAATGCGACGATTAGAGTTTCCGCGTAGAAAAGAATCCCATTCTCTTGCATCAGATCATTAAAACTGTGGCGGAAGATGTCTCGTAAATGGCCATTCCGCGAATGCATAGTAATATGGCAGCGATTTCCTATCGGATATATGTAACTGGTGAAGAGAAGGAGGACGAGAGGAGGAGAGAAGCAGGATGTGGGGGCGCGAAAATTAATCGAGAAATGGGAGAAGCGACGGGACGAATCGGGGAAAAAAACGAGCTTCGCCGGACAACAGATCCGCAGCAACGGTCGACAATTACTGCCGCGGCTGCTGATGCTGCCGTTATCGGCGCTATTTTTTCAGGTGTGCGGCTGCCGGTCAAATTAAACAAAAATTTCCATTCGTAACGAAAGCACAGACAATCCGGTTGGTCGCGCGGTCATGGCAGAATTAATCATCCCTTCGCCGAAAGAGTCAGTTACGATTCATGTAGCGGCATGTTCACGAACGCGGAAATTGTCTCCGTCGTGCATAACGAGCACACGCACCCGGGACAATTAAAGCGACCTTATATAAGCCGTCGGAATTTCGGTGGTTTCCGCCAACGTCGTCGTATCGTGAAAGTTTTGTCGTCTACGCGATGCGAACGAGGAAGAAAATAAAAGGATCCGAAACGCTGAAAATACGCGAATTTGCATTTTCGCATCGCGCGAATAAAACACGAAACCTCTGTTCGTCGCGATTATAAGAAAACGCAGAAATTTACGTTTAAACATTTGCGCTCATCTTCAACGGTTAACGGCGCGTCGAGGATTAATTACATCCGGAGAGGGCGCTAAAACGTTGATTCCATAAAGCTGGGATGGGAGGGATGGAAAAGAAAGGACCGTCTGATGGCGCGGGGTTGAGTTTTTCAGGGACGATAATTGTACGCCATTAGGTAAACGTCCCCCCGATGTGCGCACAATAACACACGGGTCGACACGTCGACGATGTCGGCGTGAAAACGCGAGGGAGAAGAGTAGTAGTAGTAGTAGTAGCAGTAGCAGTAGTATACGTAGTTCAACTGTGCGATATCAGGTCTCATTGTTCCGCGACTTCGAGCTCTTTGTCTCTTCCGTTTCGAAATGCCAGCACGGGCGACCGGAGAAGGACGGAGAAAGCACAACGCGAGCAACAGTCTCTCCAACGACACTTGAAACTTGCCAGTTATACCGGTTGGTGGAGGATGAGAAAAGAGGACGACCTAGTCGCCTCCGATAAAAGGGCGTGAACGATGAATATGTTCCGTTGCACCGCGGAATCCTGCATTACGAAAGTTTACATCTCCGACTGTTTGACCCATTATCACGCGACATATTTTCCAATGAAATTCAAAGTTTTACGTTACGAGAGAGTAGAGAATCAGCGAAAGACGGTAAAATAAACAAAAAGTGAATGTACTACAATTTTATTACTACTAGTTTTGTTAAAATTTAATTATATAAACATTTATGCGAACACAAATCTCGTGAGTAAAATCGCGAATTACTTGTATCACAGAGAACATATTGTCGACAGACTGAAAAAAAGTTACAACGAAAACAAGTCAAACATGCAAATGAATAGACATTTACATTTAAATGCTAGTTAGCGTATCACAAGGCACTCTTTAGGCGTTCTTTAGGGAAAGCGTCGAATTCGCGATGTGAATTTCGCATTGTGCGGAATTTAATTTTAACAATCGACTCAGCCGGAAGTAAAAAATTTTAATTATTGATTGGATTAGTAATTTATATGTATAATAATCAATGACGCGCGAATGTTCTCTTTTTCTCTCTAAAATTATTTAAAAAGAAATAACCGAAATTTTCTCTCGGTATTTTTTCGCGTTGTTCCCTCAAGGTAGCTTTGTACAACTATTGCACGGTTGTTGCAATTCACTTTCATTATCACGATACAATGCATCTCCGTGGCAGAGAACGCGAGGTCGGAACGGCACGCGCTCGCAATTGCTTACGTCACGTCTCTTTTGTTTCGAGAGCACGGCTCCTCACGTGTAACCTAGGCGAGGTTGCATGAAATTTTAACCTCCGTTGTGCTCCGTCGCTCGTGTTTCCATCGCCTTCGCGATCTACCCGAGGAAAACATTTTACCAACTTTCTCCGACGTTTCATAAGGACAACGACGTTGTATATTAAAGTTCCCTCCCCCCCCGCTTAACATCTCACGTACTGTTAATTTGGCCCACGTCGCGAGTGCTCTCTTATTTTAAAGAGACGTAACGAATTGTAGCCTTAACGCGAAACTTTCTTTCCTTCGAGTATTAATCAAGAATATTCTCGTTAGATAAAATACATTTATAATCAATTCACGCGCATCGCAGCGTACTTTATATTGCGCCGTCTTCATTACCGTTAAAAAGCTACTCTCCTTTCACCTTCCTCAATCATTTGAAGATCGTTGTGTAATTTTTTTATTCACTTTGCACGGAATATCATTTCTTTTTACATATATTCTTTATAATATAAAATTAGTTCTGAAAACAATATTCTTCTTAATGTAATTTTTTATATAAATTATAAATTATATTATTTTTATATTAATCATAAAACAATTTATATATATATATATATATATATATATATATGTATGTGCTAGCTTTGAGTTTTATCTTGAGTGTGTATATTTAATGATTACATAACGTATTGTCAATTCGTGAAAGACACTTTAAGTCATGTATGCGGACGCATGTCACTATTACAAGTTCAAGGCCAATTTAAGATACAAGTTAGATAGATCATTTTGCCTGAGGCACCGAAACAAAATCTGTAGTTTACTCTGTGATTCTTATTCTAGGATACTATATCGCGTTGGTCTTCTCCGACATATCTTGATCATTTTACCTTTACGCTGAATTACTTTGATGAAATCCGGATTGATGTGATTCAATACCGAGACGCGGATCAATAATAATACATCTCGAACAGTCTTATATTTTGTCGAGAACGCGTTTTGTATTAACATTATGCAAGAGCGGAACGCCGTTTCCCATTCATCGTAACGATATGAATTCTGGCATGACAAAATGATTGCTTAAACTTTCGGTGTTCGTGCGATATTCTCGCGCGCGATGAAATCAATTACATTTGGATACGATCCAAATCTGACTTTTCATGTTCTTTTTTTTACGAACATTTGCGGCGCTCCGCAGATTTACCAGTTCCATCTATCATCGTAAGCATATTATGATAAGAATGCGCGTATTAAAGAATCAGCAATAAACGTCTGCTATTTTGGATGTTCTATCATTTGGAAAATGATGATAATTCCTATACATGACATTAAAAAATAATTCATATTTAAGATTAAAACGATTACAAATTAATGCTCAAAGTAATACATATCTCTTTACATTGCAATTGAAATTATTTTAGAAAGTACGTTATCTCACATGACGAAATTTCAGTTTCTCTCTCTCTTTCTTGAACTAATAGGTATTTCGTATTTTCTAAAAAAAATCTGTCAATCGTGTTTATCATGTATTTATCTCGTCACTTTCACGGGCTCCCAAGGCTCCAATTATTTCAAGGCCAGGACATGTTCATCACGTAACCAGCAGTTGAATCCATCACTTTCTACTCGGAATAAGAAGTTCGACAAACTACACGGACCTGAATGATATATTATAACTTTTGTGATACGTTCTTTCGAGACGGGGCTGTCATCACTCGAGACAAAGAATCGCGCTTTCAAAATAGAAAACGATTTATTTCGTCTGACGACAATTGAAGACTGCACTTTTATCGAATTTTCTTTTCAAGACTTTAATTGAATTCATGCTAATTCACGCGACGTCTGAATTTCCTGCGCGAGATAACGATCGTCATTCTCACGCGAGGCTCCTTTTTCGCGCGGGAACGTGGAGCCGCTCTTTATTT